CACTTCTGGCCATCGCCGTGCTGTTAGTCTACGGCCGTGTCGTCGGCTTCGATCTGCTGCTGTGGGACGACAATCTCACGATCCGCAGCAATCGCTTGCTCTTCCCCGCATTCAACTGGCAGAGCGTCGTTGAAATATTCAGCCGTCCGCATCTTGGCATGTACATGCCTGTCACGCTTACGTTCCTCGGCTTCGAAGCGTGGATATCACAACAGCTACCGTGGAACAGCGTCGACGGTGCGGTGCATCCGTGGGTTTTTCACAGCGGGAATTTGTTCCTCCACTCGGTGTGCGTATTTCTCGTCTACGTGATTATTAAGAACCTTCACATTCACCGCTGGGCGGCTTGCTTGGGGGCGTTGCTGTTTGCTCTGCACCCATTACAAGCCGAACCTGTTGCCTGGGCCACCGAAACAAAAACGCTGATGGCCGGAATGTGGTCGCTGGCGGCAATTTGTATGTACCTCCGGCACAACGCAAAAATCGTCCACGATCGCCAACCAGGCGAAGCGGTATACTGGCGAGAACTACTCACCAGCAGATACATGATGGCTAGCGTGTTCTTCACCCTGGCGTTGCTTTCAAAGCCAACTGCGGTGGTAGTTCCACTATTGGCCGGGCTGATTGCGTGGGGATTTCTTGGCTGCGATACGCGCCGGCAAGTGATTTCTCTGACTCCTTGGGTTCTCCTAGCGGTAGCAATTGTTGTCCTAACGAAGGGCGAACAGCCTGACAGCCTGGTTCATACTGTTCCTGGAATCTTCGGCCGGTTGGTTATCGCTGGCGATGCGGCAACGTTCTATCTCACGAAACTTCTGCTGCCGCTGGGTTTGGCGATTGATTACGGCCGTACTCCTGCTGCTGTGTTGGCAAACCCCTGGGCCTATATGGCGTGGGTTGTCCCGGTTCTTGGATTGGTGATAGCGTGGAAGCTACGCCACCGTGGACCGTACTTCATCACCTATTTGATGTTTCTGGTGGCCCTTGTTCCGGTGTTGGGTTTTATTCCATTCGAGTTCCAAAACGTTTCGACGGTTGCCGACCGTTATGCCTATCTTGCTCTGTTAGGGCCTGCAGTGGCTTTGGCCTTTCTGGTGGATCGAAAGCAAAGCACCGCTTTAAGTTCTGCGGTGGTAATTGTGCTGGCTTTCTGTGCGGTGGTTACTCATCGGCAACTCGACTTTTGGCGAAACGACGAAGCGCTCTTCACTAGGGCAGTGTTGAGGAATCCGACAAGCCATTCGGGGTTGGTTAACTTGGCCCTGGTGCGATTGACCCAAGCGTCGGGTGACCTGTCTCGTTTAGATCAGGCATCGCTGTTGCTGAATCGCGCGCTTGAAGTGGCGCCCGCTCCAAAGGTGCAAGTGGATGATCTGTTGCGAATCTCCGCAGCCATGCTCACCCAGGGGCGTATCGAGGACGCAATCGAAAGGCTTCTCGAAGCGCAGCGGTTGCTGCCAGAGGATCCCAGGGCGTATAGCGACCTGGGTGATGTATTCGCCGCCGGGGAGCAATACGAGGCGGCCCTGGTTCAATATCAGAAGGCGATCGAGCTTTCACCCGAGTTCGCGCGGCCACGGTATCGAAGTGGTGACGCCCTGCGAGCGATGGGGCGATACGACGAGGCAATTGCCCGCTATGAAGACTTGCTACAGTTTCGCCCGAATTCGATGCCAACCCTGCGTGGGCTAGCCAAGTGTCATATTGAGTTGGGAAATACAGAGCAGGCACTCAATTTGATCGACAAGGCCATCGTTTGCAGCCCGACGCAGTTTCTCAATCACTATGAAAAGGGGCTGATGTTATTCAAGCTCGGCAATTACGATCAGGCAGCGGTCTGCATGCGAACGGCCATTCAGGTGAAGCCCAATGCGGCCTGCGTGCATAACGATCTCGCCACCGCCTTAGTCCGGCTTAATCGTCTCGATCAAGCCGCCCAGCATTACCGCTTGGCCATCCAACTCGACCCCGATTTGATGGACGCGCGGGCAAACCTTCGCAAAGTAGAGTTAGCCGGCGGGAAATAGCGGCTTCTGCTTAGTTCAACTTCCCGGCTGGGCGAACGTTCTCGCCGCGGCGTTTAACACCAGAGTCGCCCAGGTCGGCCCTGGCTTGCTCGACGAGTTGCAGCATTTGCTTGACGACCTCGGGATTCTCCTCAGAGACATCATGCGTTTCACCGATGTCTTCCACGAGATTGAAGAGCGACTGTCCGATTTGGGCCTCCTCATATCGGGTCGGGATACCATCCTTCCCCCCGGGGCGACCGTCCAGGGTTCGATACTTGTGCGGCAGGTGCAACTTCCAGGGGCCACTTCGTACGGCCTGCAAATGATTGCCCCAATAGAAATACAAGGCCTCGTGAGGGGTGGTTGCGCCCTCTTGGCTCGCCATAAGTGGCCAAATATCGCGACCGTCTATGATCCGCTCCGAGGGTAACTCCGCTCCGATTAGGCTGGCGATGGTCGGCAAGATGTCGATGGTCATGGCCGGCTCGTGACAAACTCCGCCGGCAGGAATCTGACCCGGCCAGCGGCAGACCATCGGTTCGCGAATCCCGCCCTCGAATGTGGTCCCCTTCCCTTCCCGTAGTGGTTTGGCAGAGCCACCGTGTTCGCCGTAGCTCAACCAGGGGCCATTGTCCGAGGTGTAAATCACGAGTGTGTTGTCATAAACACCCGTTCGACTCAAGGCATCCAGGATCTGCCCAACCGACCAATCGATCTCCTCGATCACATCGCCATACAGCCCACGCTTGCTGTCACCGTTGAACTTGCCAGAGACGAACAGCGGAACATGCGGCATGTTATGCGGAACATAAACGAAGAACGGCTGCTCATGATTTCTCTCGATGAAGTCGACAGCCCGCTCGGTGTACCAGGTTGTGAGTTGTGTCTGATCGGGGTTATTCTCGATGGTCTCAGTCCCGCGGATCAGCGGAAGCGGTGGAAAGCCCCCAGGGCGTTCCGGATGATAGGGCCACATGTCGTTGGAATAAGGCAGCCCGAAGTATTCATCGAAGCCGTGATTGGTTGGCAAAAACTTCGGATGGTGCCCCAGGTGCCACTTTCCAAAAATTGCGGTGGCGTAGCCGGCGTTGTGAAGTAGTTCAGCTAAGGTCAACTCATCGGGGTTGATCCCATGACGGCTCTTGGGCCCTAGGGCGCCCAGGATTCCCACGCGGTTCGAATAACAACCGGTTAGCAGGGCTGCCCGAGAAGCCGAGCAAACAGGTTGAGCCACGTAAAAGTCGGTGAATCGAGTGCCTTCGGTGGCCAAGCGATCAATGTTCGGTGTGGCGAACCCTTCGGCCCCAAAGCACCCCAGGTCGGCGTAGCCCTGATCGTCGGCGAAAATAAGAACGACATTCGGCAGGGATTTTTCGCCAGCCTTCGCTGTAAACGCTCCGGCAGCCAGCGTACTCAAGAGTACTAATAAGACCTTCATGAGAGATGACTTCATGGAATTTCCCAGCACTTCGCGAACTTGAGCCGATTCGGATCGACAAACTCACAGTCGATGGTTCTGTGAGGCCCAGTATCGTCGCGAATCAGGCATGAGGCAAACAAACGGCCTATCAAGTTCTCAGTCGGCGGCTGTGAGAGTTATTGGACGGATTCTGCCTTCGCAGCCTGGGGTACCAAGTCGTTTTTCTCCAAGAACTCAAACAGATCGTTCGCCAATTGTGCATGCGACCGCGGTGTGGGATGCAGGTTGTCCAGGAATTGTTGGTCGAGCGGGAGTTCGACCTTGTGAAGACTTGGATGGGCATCGAACAACGGTACATCGTGTTCACGACAAAACTTAGTCAACAGACAATCATGCGGCTCGGTGAAGCGGTAGGAAGGATGAATGATGACCAACTTGATTCCGTTCTGTTTGCAGTAGTCCGCCAACTCAGTGAGGTTCTGCAGACGCTCGGCGGAACTGACCCGACGGGGAAGTTGCGACTCATCTAAATTCGCCATGATTGCGTCTTCCGATTCGACAAGCCTGGTCGGAATCCCGATGTCGTCGAGTTTCACGCGCAGACTGGAGTCGAACGAGCGATCGACGTCTTGTTCCGATGCCACCACGGTGTTTAGGCGATTCCTCTCGATGGTGTTTTGAACGAATCGGAAGATTGCCGAATAGGCTAGTAGTGTTCGGCTGAGGGTGCCCGTGAAGGATTCGTAGATCTCGCGGTCTGTCATGCTGAGGCCCACCTGCTCGGTGGTGTCCGAGCTTCGCCAACTGGTGGGCAGATAATCGTTGAACTCGTGATAGAAGAGCACCATGTCGGGTTCGAGCTTGATACCCTCTTCCTTTAGGTAGATCAGGCTCTGGAATGAAGACCAGGCCGGAACGCCAGCGTTGATCACCTGGAAATCGAGCTCGGGATCGGCGGCATTAAGAAGCCTTTCGAGCTGCTGGCTGTAGGTGTGTTCATCGGCCACTCCGTAACCATAAGTGGTGCTCTCGCCTAAGGAGAGAATCCGATAGGTCCGCGGGGGTTTGTTGATCGACACGTCGCGATAACGCAGCCCGAGGCGGTTGGTGGAGTAGCCGTCTTTCTTGCCAGCGTAGTCGCTGGTGATAGATGGTTGCAGCGACCACATCAGTGTGGCGTTGGGCTGCAACATGCCGAACAATTCCTCGGGCAGTGGAATGCTCTGCCGCGAAGGCCGGGCCGCTTCGGTGAGACGGAGCACCAACTCCAGGCCGCCGAATAACAGCACTGCAGGTAAGAGTGCGAAAACGAAGTACTTCAGTCGCCGTTTAGCCTTTGGTTTATTACCGCCTGTGTGCGGCGACGCTTCATCTTGCATGAATTCGACCGTGCAAAACCCCGCGAGACTGGCAAAGGCGAGGGCATCCTCCGCCAAAATTGCCATTGATAACCGAGAAAGCAAGATACGCCACTAGATGTGAGGGCGAATCTTACCCATTGTGGTTCTCGCTTGCCACGATGGCAACGAGAAACGGTAGGGAATTTAACATCGACACCAAGTACTCAATGCTCATTCGGTGTGAGCATACTCCCCAGTTTGTAGAGGAAACGCTGACAGCGTGCCTTGGGGAAGCAACTGATTGCTCACGAGAAAATCGAACAGCCCGGCTGCGAGCTGGGCATGTGCTTGGGGACTCGGATGCACATGGTCAAGGAATTGCTCTTCTACCGGTATTCCTTCCGGGTGCAAACTCGGGTGTGCGTCGAATAGCAGTACGTCATGCTCGTGACAGAATTCGGTAAGCAGACACTCGTGAGGTGTGGTGAAGCGATAAGAAGGGTGAATCACCACTAGCTTGATACCGTTCGCATTGCAGTAGCTCATTAGCTCCAACAGATTCTGCTTCCGCTCATTCGAACTTACGCGGCGAGGCAATTGTCTCTCATCAACCGCGGGCTTCTGCCCATCTTGCGAATCGACCAGCCTGGGAGGAATACCAATCTCGCCGAGTTCCACGCGTAAGCTTAGATCCTGCGAGCCGTCGGCATCATGCTGAGAGGTGGCAGCCCCCTGCAGCCGATAGCTTTCCAAGCCGTACTGAACGAAGCGGAACATGGCTGAGTGCGCAAGTAGGCTTCGGCTGATGGTTCCAGAGACCGAATCGTAGATCTCACGGTCGCTCTTGCTGAGGTCGACCACCCTCGTACTTTCGGCGCTTCGCCAGCTCGAAGGCAAGTAATCGTTGAACTCGTGGTAGAACAGCACCATATCGGGCTGCAGCTTGATGCCTTCTTCCCGCAAGTACAGCAGGCTTTGAAACGAGGACCAGGCCGGCACTCCAGCATTGATCACCTCATACTTGGTCTCGAGAGCGTCCTTGTTTAGCAATAATTCGAGTTGTTCGCTGTAAGTCTCGTTATCGGCCACTGCATAACCGTGAGTGGTGCTCTCGCCTAAAGAAAGAATCCGGTAGACCCCCGCCGGTTTTTCCACCTGAACCTCGCGGTAACGCAAACCAAGACGATTCGTGGAATAGCCGGGTTCCTGTCCGGCATAGTTGCGGCGCATGGATGGCTGTAGCGACCACATTAGCTTCGCATCGGGGCGAAGCATGCCAATGTCTTCTTCCGGCAGGGGAATGCTTTCCCGCGAAGGTCGGGCACCCTCAGTGGCACGAAGCACCAACTCCAGACCTGTGAAGATCGATACGGCAGGTAGCAGCGCAAACACAAGATGCTTCAGCCACCGCTTAAAGGAAGCTTTTTGGTCGCCCTGGGGCGACTCCAATCCGTCGGACATAGGGTGCAAATAGTGAGGAGGGACGACCGGGAGGCATACATCCAAGGTCGATGATTCTTAGGGTGGGAACCGGTAAGCCAGTTCGGCCACGGAACGGCGGGCTAATCTGGTTCTAGCCTGAACTGTTCGAAACACAAGATGCGATCACAAAGAATTCACAGATGTCTTGTGAGCAATGAACCGCATGGCAGCTCAAAGAGGTGAACTAGCTACCTTTGGGTGGTTCGTTCTTCATTAGTTCAGGAACCCTGGCCTACCAGAGGTGGCATGAAAGGTCGGTAGTGACGAGCAACAAACCTAGTGGCGCTGAAAAAGTGCATTGCGTAATTCTTCCGCAAAGGTTGCACTGCTCTGCACCACCTCTTGGAACTGTTCGTTGTCCAAGGCGTAGAGTTCCAGGTCGGTCGTTGCCCGAACGGTGGCGTTCCGCGGCTCTCCGGTAAGCAAAGCGGCTTCGCCGAAGTAGTCGCCACTGCCGAGTTCGGCGACCACCCGTTTCTTGCCGGCGGTTTCGACCTCGACTTCTACTTTGCCGTCACGGATCAAGTAGAAGCAATCGCCCGGGTCGCCTTGACGGACGATAGCCGTTCCTGGCGGGTGGCTTTCGAAACGCATCTGGTCGGCCACCTTGGCCAAAGTGCCAGGCGTGAGGTGTTCAAACACGGAAATCCGACCTAAGAATTCGCAAATCACCTCCGACTCGACCACTAGCACGTCGGAGATAATGCTGCCGTCGACCATGTTCACGATCCGATCAGCAGCATCGAGAATTCGGTTGTCGTGGGTGACCATCAAAATGGTGCTGTTGTTTTCCTCGGCAAACTCCCGCAGCAGGTTCACCACGTCACGGCCCGAGGCTTTGTCCAAGGCGGCCGTAGGCTCATCGGCCAGAATCAGCTTGGGATGATTGGCCAGGGCCCGAGCGATAGCCACCCGTTGGCGTTGACCTCCGGAAAGGGCCGACGGTTTGTAATTGATTCGATGCCCGAGCCCCAGTCGCGTGAGCATCTCTTTGCCGCGCTCATCCATTTCGCGAGGTGAGAAATCCTTCAGCTCCATCGACATGCGGACGTTCTGAATGGCCGTTAACGACCCGAACAGGTTGTGTGCCTGAAAGATGAACCCAATTCCCCGGCGTAGATTCACCAGTTGCCCGGAACTCAAACCCTGTAGCTCTTGCCCCAGAATCTTGAGGCTTCCTTCCTGCACAGTACGCAGGGCCCCGATGAGCGTGAGCAGTGTGGTTTTACCCGAGCCAGAGGGGCCGGTCATAATGACGATTTCGCCACCGTGCAGGTCGAGATCGTTTTCGAAGAGCACCTGTTTACGCAGTTCGCCATCGCCGAAGTAGTGGTTCAGACCACGCACGGCTACGGTCACTTCTTTTTTACGCGAAGGACCAAAGGTGCCCTGGGGCAAAGGCTCGCCTTGAGGTTGGGTGGCGTCGGGGGAATCGCTCATCAAAACAGCTCCGCCGGATCGGCCGAACGAACTTTACGAATTGCCAGAAAACCTGAAGCCATGCACATGGTGACGGTGAGCAAGAACACAATCACCGATCGCCCCACCGTGAGCCGCATCAGCAGTCCTGTCCATGCTCCAATACCCTGGTACAGCAATGCACTGATGAGCAACCCGGGAATAAATCCCAAGATCGCCAGCAGCAGGGCCTGCTGGATTACTACGCCAAGAAAATAACTGAATGAGTAGCCCATCGCCTTAAGCGTGGCGAATTCTGGCATGAAGTCGGCCAGTTGCGAGAACAGCACCTGGTAGCAGATGATTACGCCGACAATGAACCCCATTACGGTGCCCATGCCGAACACCACCCCCACGGGCGTGCTGCGCTGCCAGAACTCGCGCTCTTCCTGAACCATTTGTTCTTTGGTGAGCACGTCCACGTCGCGGGGCAACACTTGCCTTAGTTTCTCAATCACCTCATGGGCATCTTGATCGGCGGCTACGCGAATCAACCCCAGGTCGACATCGTCCAGTGTCGGGGTCGACCCGGCCCGCATAGGAAAGTAACGTTCGAAGTTGCGATCGCTCATGATCAGATTGCCATCGTTCATGAAGTCGGTCGCCAGATCAAACTGACCAACGATTTCCACGTTCTTGCCGGTAAGTTCGCTGACGACCCCCTCGCCGATTGGGCCGTAGATTGACTTGGATTGTCGATCGCTGATCGCGGTGTGGGCCGTTTGTAATTCTGGGCTGGCGTCGATCGCCTGCGGCAAGAGCAGTACGGGGTCGCTCGGGTCGTAGGCAATCACGCGAATCCAGCGGGGAATTCCATCCTCGACATTACGCCATACCGCGAGCGTGGGCTCGAGATACAGGGGATACGTCGCGATAACTCCATCAACAGCCTCCGCCTGACGCAGCCGACGGATTGAAAAGCCTTCTCGGTTCACCAGCGAATAGCGGTTTGTGCTCTTGATGAAAATGTCGGCGTTGCAACGTTCCAGGAGTTCGACCGTACTATCGAGCAGTGCGAAGTAGAAGCCCACCTGCGCGCACATCAACAGCACAGCGAAACCGATGCCGGCCGCGGCGATGAGCAGCCGGCGTCGATCGCTGACGAGGTTGTACCAGGCAAGTGGAACGCGTCTTCTGCGCATGACAGCTTTCAAAACAAATCTGCCGGGTCGGCCACGGTAATCTTTCGCAGTGCGGCTAAACCCGAGAGCGTACACATCGCGAGCGAAATCCCTAGCACCAACGCAGCCCGGCCCCACGTCATGGCGATTGGGATACTGGCGGCTGACGAAGTCACACGATAAAGCAGTTCGGCCAAGATCAGGGCGGGGAAATATCCCAGCACGCCCAGGATGACGGCCTCTTGTAGAACGAATTTAGCCAACTGGCGGGGACCATAGCCCACGGCCTTTAACGTGGCATATTCCGAACGATGGTTTGTGATGTCGGCCGAAAGCACCTGATAGACGATGGCCACACCGACGATCATCGCCACGACCGTGCCGAGGCCGAAGATTACCCCGACCGATGTGGTAACGAGCCAGAAGCGTCGCTCGCGGAAGTTCATCTCCGGTCGTGTAAGCACCCGAGTATCACTAGGAAGGACTTCGGCCAGTCGCTCGGCAACCTGCTCAGGATCGACACCGGGTTTCAGGCGAACGAGCCCCAGATTGACTTTCCGAATACCCTGATAGGGGAACAGCCTGCCAAAGCCCTGGTCGCCCACCATGATGGCCCCATCGGCCGTGAAGCCCGTGCCCATGGTGAATTGACCGGCGATTTCAACCTGCTGCCCGCCCACTTCCGTTTGAACGCCGACTCGTTGAGGGCCGAATTCTTTCCGTGAGCTCGTGTCGATCAACACAGCGTTTGCTCGACTCAGGGCAGAAAAGTTAGGGGGGCCACCCTTCTCCAGGTCAAAGACCGCCTCGGGCTCTCGCGAACCGACAACGAGGATACCTCGCCCGCGGAGGGTCGTTGGGTGGCGCCATACATTCAGGCCGATATACAAAGGTTGTACGTCGAGCACCCCTTCGACGGCTGCCGCCTGGCTAAGTCGCTGACGGGGAAAAGTGCCGGTCTTGCGGATGTCGATGTATTCGGGCGACGTGATCAGGATGTCGAAGCGGAGCTGATCGTAGATAAGCGTGGCCGTCGTGACGACCGAACCCAGGAAGCCCAACTGCATTAGGATCAGCACCAAAGCAAAGGTGACACCCGCGGTGGCGACCAGCGTGCGGCCCTTTTCGTGCATCAGGTTGTGCCAGGCAAGCTGAGTCTTCATGCAAGATCGTGCTGTGGGCTTCGTGCTGCGGCAAAGTTCGAGACGCCGAATGAGGCGTGAGGGCCACGGCGGATAAATGGTGGAAGCTGTTCAAGGCGGGCAAACGTCGAGGCGTTGGCTCCTGCGTTAGTTCGACTCCCCGGATGGAGCCTCGGCGGTTTCATTCTGCAAGGTCGCTTCCGGTGCCGAGCTTTCGGCGGGTGTGGTGGACGATCCGCTGCCCGCTGAGGTATCGATCGAAACCGAGACCTGCAAGTTCAGCAAGTGTTCGACCGAGGAGCCATCGTTGACCCCAATGATCAGCTCAACCACACGAGCGTCGGTTCTGGCTCGAGTGGGATCGAGATTCATCAAGCTGTTTTGGGCGACCGTTGAACCGATTGCCTCAACTGTCCCGGTTAACAATTCGACCGAGGGTGGAAGAGCGTCGCTGAAGATTTCGGCCTTCTGCCCAACTTCGACCCAACGGATGTCGGTTTCATACACTTCGGCCACGGCTACGATCTCCGAGGGATCGGTCATCTGTAGCACAGGCTGCTGTCCAATGGTCTCGCCCTTACGGACGAAGATCTTCAGAACCCGCCCCGCGATTGGGGCCCGAATCACACTCATCTCGACCTGCTGTTCAGCCAAGTCGACAGCTGATTGCAGCGATTTGATCGGGATACCAGCCTCAAGGCGGGGCAACGAACTTTGAGCGGTCGCCAACTTGGCTTCGGCCAACTCGACGTTCAGCTCATCGGCCGCTTTCATTTTCGCCAGAGCCTGTTGCGAGGCGTTCAACTCAGCCTTGGCACTGCGAACGAGAAGCTGTTGATGTTCCAGTTGTTGCTCGGGCACCAGCGACTCGTCGAGCCCTTCCATGCGTTCCAGGTCGCGTTGAGCCAGTTCGAGATTCGCTTCGTGCAGCTCGATCTGCGCTTCTTGAGCGGCGATGTCCATCTTGGCGAACTTGGCCTGCTCGATCGACAGCTCGGCTTCGCGAATCATCTTCTTGGCATACGTCACTTCGGCAGCCAGTTTGGCTTTGGCCTCTTCGAGTTGGGCCACAGCCGATTCGCGCTGAGCGACCCGCAATGGGTATGAATCAGCGTATGCCAAGACCTGTCCGGCCTCGACCTCTTGGCCCTCGCTGACTTCGATGCTTTCAACTCGGGTGCCGGCCATGGCTCCGAGGTTCAACACGCCTTGTCGCGGTTCCAAACGGCCAAGTGCTTCAATCTGCGGAGGCCGCTGGGCCTTCTTGGGCGTTGCAACCGGTGCAACATCCCCATTCGAGCCACATCCGGCAAAGAGCAGCAGCGCGAAGACGCTCCGATACTTCCAATTCGTCACGGTGGGTGCCTCTGTTATATGTCGTTTTATACGATGCATTCTTCGCATTTTACCACAATGGGGCAGTTTCAATATCGGTCATTCTCGCCCTGAAAGCCGGTCGAGCCTGGCAAAACGAGCGACTGTATGGTTTGGCCCCTGTTCTAACCTGCACTTTCCGAAGAAGCCGATTCGGGTAAGCCCGTCCGGGAGTGAGGCCGGGACGAATTCTATACCCCGGCAGGAGCCTTTCCCCGCTGTTGTCGTTGCGGCAGGGAACTATCGCCGGGGTAGTTGCGTCATAAAGGTAAGTGCAGCGAGCCCCTCCTGCCCGAAATCCAGGGTTGGAAACGTTTGTGGGCAGGATGAAGTCGGGGCTGATATATTGGTACCGCTTGAACTTCGGTATCGAGATTTGGCCGGAAGTTGGCCCCACGACTGAGGGGATTTACCCTTGGCCACGACCGGTTGCAGCGCAAGAATTCGATGGTGAGTTTTCCGTTCGAACCGGCCCGCTATCCGCCAAGACCTAATGACGGCAAAAACCTTTCGGCCACCGACCGCCGATGCGAATCTTCACGCCTAGTCGAGTAATCGCCGCCGATGAACTATGAGCCGACACAGCGCCAGGACATCCAGGAACGTGGCGACGCGCAGCGACTGAGCGAAATTCACGATCGCCCCCCTACCAACGTGCCTGGTTATGAGACCCAGCAATTCATCGGAGCCGGGGCCTACGGCGAAGTCTGGACCGCGGTCGACAAAAACACCGGGCGTAAAGTGGCCATCAAGTTCTACGCCCATCGTGGTGGGCTCGATTGGTCGCTGCTCTCGCGAGAAGTCGAGAAGCTTTGCTTCTTGTTTGCCGACCGGTACATCGTGCAACTGCTCGATGTGGGTTGGGAAGCTGAACCTCCATACTACGTGATGGAGTACATGGAGTCCGGCGCACTCGAGGACCATCTCGCCGACGGTCCCCTGCCCGTCGACCAGGCGTTGACCCTCTTCCGCGAAGTTGCCATCGGTCTGCGTCACGCTCATGACAAAGGCGTGCTGCACTGCGACTTGAAACCGGCCAACGTGTTGCTCGACCATGATGGGAAGCCACGGCTGGCCGACTTTGGTCAATCGCGCCTCTCCCACGAACAGGCCCCTGCCCTGGGTACGTTGTTCTACATGGCACCCGAGCAAGCCAGTCTGGAAGCAGTTCCGAACGCGGCTTGGGACGTTTATGCCTTAGGGGCCTTGTTCTACTGCATGCTCACCGGCGCGCCCCCTCATCGAACCAGTTCCGCAGAAACTTCGCTCGACGGCTCGCTTGCTCTGGAAGAACGGCTCGAGCGGTATCGCGACATCATTGAGAAGTCGCCCCTGCCGCGTGAACACCGTCGCGTGGCGGGCATGGACCGCCATCTGGCCGAAATAATCGATCGTTGTCTTGCGACGGACCCTAAGAAACGTTTTGCCAACGTTCAGGCCGTGCTCGACGCCCTGGAGCGACGCCGTTTACGTCGGGCTCAGCTTCCGCTGCTCGTGTTGGGAGTAGGAGCCCCCATCCTGCTGCTGTTTGTGATCTCCCTGTTTGCCTATAACGGGTTCTCCACCGCACTCAACGAATCGGAAGCGGCCGTGATCGGGCGAGCGTTGGAGAGCAATCGTTTCGCCGCGCAATTCGTCGCCGATAACGTCGCAGGTCAAATCAACCATCGTTGGCAAATGCTCGAGCAAGAGGCCAACAGCCCGGAAATGCGAGATCTCCTAACAGCGGCCTATGACAAGCCATTCGATTCACCCGAGCGCGAAGCACTCCAAGCACTGATTAGCGATCTGCGAATGCGGCATCCGGATGCGGATGCCACGAGTTGGTTCATTACGGACAAGGAAGGCAAGCAACTCGCTCGTTATCCCATGGGCAAGACCATCGACCAGAATTACGCCTTCCGCGATTACTTTCATGGTCAGGGCTATGGCATGGACCCCGAGACCAAGGGGATCGAGCCGATTCGCGATGTCCATCGTTCGCACGTCTTTCGTTCCCAGGCCACCAATCGGCGAATGGTGGCGTTCTCCGTCCCCGTGTTTGGCGAGCGTGTAGAAGGAGAAGAACGTGAAGTAATCGGGGTTCTGGCGATGACTGCCGAGTTGGGCACCTTCGCCGAATTGCGACCCGAATACGGTTCGTCCGCCGGGCAGTTCGCCGTGCTGGTGGATAGCCGTCAAGACTGGCAAGGCAGACGCGGCTCTGTGATTGAGCATCCCGAGTTGGCCCATCGCATGAAGGGCAATTCGGGAGCCATCCCGGAGGTCTACCTCCCACCCGAGGAACTGAAGACCTTGGATCGACTTCATCCGCTCAAGCTGGAAGTGGTTCAAGAAAGCGAACGTAACCGATCTAATGGTGTTTCCACGATCCCCGTCACAGCCCACATGGGTTCCGACTCCGAACGCGGCTTCGGTGCCGACGACGCCTCGCCAACCCGAGAGGCACTGGCCAAGGCAGACCCCGAAAGTCAGGAACAAGCGGCAGATAGTGTTCCCTCGAATCCGGTACGTCCGCGCAGCGAGGTGCCTACCGAGCCAAGCTTGTCGGAGGAAGATCGCGCTCGCAACCAGTTGATGCAAGAGTTGGCGATCCGCAGCCATTATGTCGACCCGGTAGGAGAGAACTATCAGGGCCGTTGGCTGGCCGCAGTCGAACCAGTGATTGTGGAAGACCGTCCGCCAGCGATCGCAGACACCGGTTGGGCCGTGATCGTGCAGGAGCGCTACAGTGCCGCGTCGCGTCCGGTATGGGAGTTGGCCCCACGCCTGAGACGAATGGGCTTGATTGCGTTGACCGTTGTTGGAATGCTGATCGTCATGCTGTGGGGCTTCGTGATGGTGGTGCTGAACGATGGCCCCCACTCGAAAGCCCTGGCCGGCATTCGCCGCCGCATCGGCTTGTCGTCGATGCGGGGCAGCGGTGATCGTACTGGTTCGCCGCGTTCAACCGAGTCGGCCCATCAGGCGACGGTGGAGTACGAAACACAACAAAACCAGTAACGGTCTGCCTAGAGTCACGGTTGAAGTACAGCATGGAAGTGCCGTTTGACGCGGCCCTGTACAATGCTCTGCGTTCGAATCTTGGATTCGGTTCGTCCTCGCTGGGCGTCTAAGAGAAGTAATTTGATGGAGTGGTTGGTTTGGCTGATTTGATTGCCGAAGGAGCAAAGCCCCAAGATCGTTGGCGGCGGAGTTTGCCCGAGGGACAAAAGTTACTCGTGGGAAGAGCCGCAGGCGTGTGGTCGGTTCCCTGGGACGATCACGTCTCGCGACGTCACGCCGAACTACGTTTCGAGGGCGGTCGCCTTGTGGTCGATCGCTTGCCCAACGCTTTGAACCCGATCTTCGTTCGCGGGGTGGAACGCGATCATTTCGAAATCAACCCGGGCGATCACTTCGTCATCGGCAAAACTCGCTTTAGCCTGACCGACGACAAGGCCGAAGTCTCACTCGCCATCCCACAGCCCGTGCGGGAGCAGGCTTACAGTTCCCAGTACCTGCATCACGTCCAGTTTCGCAATGCCGACCAGCGAATCGAAGTGCTGAGTCGCCTCCCTGATGTCATCTCCGGCTCGGCGAACGACCGGGAACTCTATGTGCGGTTGATCAACCTGCTGCTGGTGGGGCTCGCCAGGGCTTCGGCTGTGGCCCTGGTCGAAGTCGACGCGGCTGCCACGGGCGATTCTAAAGTTCGGGTATTGCAGTGGGATCGTCGCTTCTCGGGCGGAAGGTTCCAGCCCAGCCAGCGGCTCATCCTCCGCGCCATCAAACGCAAGCAAAGCATGCTTCACGTGTGGGGAGCCGGCGACGGCGAGGCGTCGATCACAGCGATGACCGTCGATGAGCACTTCGATTGGGCTTTTTGTGTTCCCACCCCCTCTAGCGGCTCGACAACGCTCGCGATCTACGTGGCCGGAACATTCGCCGACGAACGCGGACCCACGCCAACTCCGTCAGATCCAGCCGACCTACGCGACGATTTGAAGTTCACCGAGTTGGTTGCATCCATCGTCGGTTCGCTTCGCAGCGCCCATCAACTGCAGCGGCGGCACGCCAGCCTGAGCCAGTTCTTCGCCCCGGCGGTGCTCGATGCCCTTACGGCCGAAGACGACCCCGAGGTGGCGCTGACTCCCCGGGAGACGCATGTCACCGTGATGTTCTGTGACTTGCGAGGCTTTTCACTCAACGCTGAGCAAAGTCGGGACGATCTGTTGGGGTTGCTCGATCGCGTGAGCGGTGCCTTGGGGGTAATGACGCACCATATTCTGGAACAAGGCGGTGTGATAGGCGATTACCAGGGCGACGCCGCGATGGGTTTCTGGGGATGGCCTCTCTCGCAAGAAGATGCGGTCGAACGTGCAGTGAGGGCATCGCTGGCGATTCGTAAGCACTTTGAAGACGCCTCGACCCAGGAAGATTCCGATACGGCTCAGTTCCGCGTGGGCATCGGCATTGCCACCGGTCCGGCGGTGGCCGGCAAGATTGGAACGCTCGAGCAAGTGAAAGTCACGGTGTTCGGCCCCGTGGTGAACCTGGCTTCACGGCTCGAAAGCATGACCAAAATGCTGAATGTCCCTATCCTCATCGACGAACTCACCGCCGAGCGGCTACGGGCGATGCCGAAAGAAGAAGCTCGCTGCCGCCAGCTGGCAGTGGTGAAGCCCTATGGGCTCGATACCCCGTTGGCCGTGTCTGAAGTGGTTCCTCCGCTGGAAGATTTGCCGAGCCTTACCGACGAGCAAATCGCCAGCTACGAGGCGGCTGTCGATGCCCTGGTGGCCGGCAAGTGGGATGAGACCTACCGGCAGTTACATCGCATTCCACCGGAAGATCGTGCCAAAGACTTCCTTACCGTCTACGTCGCACGGCACAATCGTCAGGCACCCAGCGACTGGCCCGGTTACATTGCGATGACGAGCAAGTAGCAGATATCCAAGCCAGCCAGTCGGTTCCACTTTTGAAAGCCTCTGCATGACGAATCGACGAGTACTCATCGCCCTGTTCGCCATCGCCGTGTGGCTGGTGTTTGGCCTGGTGATGACCGCGCGATTGGCAACCTCGACCGATGCAGTGGTGGTGTACACCGCGCAAGACACGATGTACGCCGAGCCGATCTTCGCCAGCTTCACCGAAGTGACCGGCATCGAGGTTCGTCCGAAGTTCGACACCGAGGCCACCAAGACTGTGGGCCTCGCGCAAGCCATCATGGCGGAAGAAGCCCGCCCTCGCTGCGACATGTTTTGGAACAACGAGATTCTCAACACGCTCCGTCTGGAGCGACAAGGCCTGTTAGAGCCCTACGACTACCCGCAGGCTTCTTACTACCCCGCGCAATTCCGCTCCTCCAAGAATCTCTGGTACGGGTTCGCCGGTCGGGCTCGCATTCTCATCGTCAACACCGAATTGGTGAGCGAAGCCGATTGGCCGACGTCGATCTATGATCTGGCAGACGAAAAGTGGCAGGGGCAGATCGCCATCGCGAAGCCGTTGTTCGGCACCACGGCCACCCATGCGGCCTGTTTGTTCGCCTACTTGGGAGACGAGCGAGCCCGCGAATACTTCCTCAGCCTGAAGCGTAACGGCATTCAGGTCATGGCCGGGAACAAACACGTAGCCCAGGCGGTTGCCGCCGGCCAGGTGGCTTTCGGGCTGACCGACACCGACGATGCCATCATCGAAGTCGAAAAAGGCCATCCCGTGGCAATTGTCTACCCCGACCGCGAGCCCGACCAACTGGGCACGCTGTTCATTCCCAACACGCTCTCGGTGATCCGAGGAGCAGCCCATCCGGAAGAAGCCCGCCGGCTGATCGACTACCTGCTCTCCCACAAGGTCGAAGCCATGCTGGCCGCCGGGGCCAGCGCGCAGATTCCACTCCGCACCGATACCGAAGTCAAGGTTCGCGTAGAAACGCCACGCACCGTGCACGCCATGAAGGTCAATTTCGAAGCAGCGGCCGATGTGTGGAACGAGACCGCGGAGTTTATCCGCGATCAGTTCACAGGCCCCTGAGGAACTCAGCGTAAGCTGTTACTTCAGTTCCAGTAGCTTCACGTTCTTCACCCACACTTTGTGGTCGTGGTCTTGGAAGCCGAGATAGCCGACGCGGGGCATGTCCTTCACCACGCCGAACTTGTGCTTCGAACCATCGGGTCGGCGGCCTTTCTCCGGGTATTCATCGCAGTCCATCATCGAGACGATCTCGCCATTCACACTCACCGCGATCAGCGGACCTTTGCAGGCGATTTGCACGTGGTTCCACTCGCCGTCGCCATTGAGATTCAGGTGCGAGGGCTGAACGAGGTCGTAAATCGCTCCAAAATCGTGGTAACCGGTTTCGTCACTGTTGTAGATCTGTGCTTCGAGTCCGGTGTAGATCGGGTTCTTGAGATCGCCGACGCGGAAGAAAATGCCCGAATTGCAATCGGCATCACCCATCTTTACGTCGCACTTCAGCACGAAATCGCCGAACTGTTCTTCGAACACAATGAGGTAACCGCCCGATTCGTAAGGAACCAAGGCTCCCTCCTCGATGGGCGTGGCGATCTCTTTACCGTTGTTGCATTTCCAGCCGGTATGGTCTTTCCCATTGAACAGCAATCGCCAACCGGCAGCTTCTTCAGCCGGAGTTAGTTCGTTGTCGCCGGCCAGGCAGTTCGTCGACCCGTGGAGTAGGGAAACAAACAGAACTGCCATAATGAATCCGCCGATTCGCGCAATCTTCATAATTCGAGGCTCCACGGTTGGTTGGTTTTTCGCTCTGTCGCACGGACTCATGAGTCCGTCGAATAGTTGATCTGAACTTATCGTGCGTTCCCACTGTAGGCGGACGGATGAGTCATTTCCAGAACCCTGGACGAACCGTGCCTGGACATCACTCGGTCTACGCAGCACAAGCGATCGTCGATAGAATGTCACGTTAGACGGCTACGGCTGCTCACTTCAGCGGGAGCGGCCTCTCACCTTTCTCGTCTCCCGGGCTACAAGGCATCCGCCCCTCTCGGCGGCACACTGGAGTATGGACGACGCCGGCATCGTTAAACGGTATCTCGAGGCTTGGAACTCCCGCGATGCGGCTGCGCTGGCTTCGCTGTTTGGCGAGCACGGCACCTACCAAGATCCGTACTGTCGGGGGGTACTAACAGGCGGATTGGCCATTGCCGAACATGCCAAGGCCGTTTTTCGAGCGTTCAATCCACTGAATTTTGAGCCGATTACCATCGTGCCGGGGAAGGACGAAAAGCAGGCCACGCTGCACTACCGTGTGCATGGAACGAACGTCGGCCCCTTGGGTGAGTTTCCTGCCACGGGGCGATCGATGGACACCACGGGACTGGTATTAATCTCTTTCAATTCCGACCGTCTCGTCTCGGTGTTCAACCACTACGATCGAACGGCGGTTGGCCAGCAACTGGGGCACCCCGAGTACCGCCGACTGCGAGGTCTCGGCACCCGCGACTCGGTGCCGTATGTGTTGATCAACCCGTTTCATGTTCCCCCGGAAGATCAAGACGCGTTGATCAGTCGTTGGGAAGAACTAACCCGATTTTTTCGCACCCAACCTGGCTTCATGGACGCCCGCCTGCACCGCAGCACCGACCCCGCGGCATGGTTTCCTTTTGTCAGTTCCACGTTTTGGGCCAGCCCAGAAGCGTTCGAAAAAGCTGCCGCACAGAGCGAAGTGGCCCAGCTCATCGCCGCGCTGCGTGTCGAGGGTTATCCGGCCTTCTACCGCATCGAAGTGAAGTATTGAGTGGTAAGTGCGAACCCCTGCTGGCACGACGACGTCTTGATCCGTGTGCCATAGGGCCACTAAGTTTGAAGGGCATCGGTGGGGGAGTTGGATGCCAGTGGCATCGTTCGCAGGCCCCCTCCTGCTCGATTCTCTGCCTCTGACTCGTGACCATAACAAAATGATTCTGCTCGACGTCTCCGCCATCCGAAAGTACTACGGCTCTGAGCCGGTGTTGGATGGCGTTGCGTTTCAACTTCGACGCGGTCAACGGGTCGGGCTTGTCGGAGCCAACGGAGCGGGGAAAACGACCCTGCTGGAGATCCTGGCTTCCGAACTCGAAAGTGATGCAGGCGAAATCTCTCTGCATCGCAGTGCCACCTTGGGTTATCTGAAGCAGCATCCCACACTGCAGCCCGGCCGCACACTTCGAGAAGAAGCCGCCGAAGCCCTGGCCGGGGAAATGCAGCGGGTGGAAGAGGCCGAACAACTGGCCGCCGCTATCAGTCAGGCCACCGACTCGGCCGAGCACGATCGTCTGGCCGCCCGATACGATCAACTGCATCAAGAGCTTCTGCGGGATGACGGCTACCATCTGGATCATCGCATCGAACGCATCCTGCAGGGGCTGGGCTTCGAGCCCGAGCGATTTGATCAGCCGGTCGAACAACTCAGTGGCGGCCAAGTCAACCGGCTCATGCTCGGCAAGCTGTTGCTGGCTCAACCAGACGTGATGCTGCTGGACGAACCATCGAACCACCTCGATCTCGAATCGACTGCCTGGCTCGAAAAACACCTGGCCGCTTACACGGGTGCTTTGATCGTCGTGAGTCACGACCGTTACTTCCTGGATAAGGTCACCACGCACACCTACGAACTGTTCGACGGCACCATTGATATCTACCCCGGCAACTTTTCTGCCTACTGGCGACAAAAGGCCGAACGGATCAAGGTCGAGCAACGCACCTTCGACAGCCAGCAAGCTGAGATCGCCAAGCTAGAAGACTTCGTCCGCCGCAACCATGTCGGGCAAAAACACGCCCAGGCCGAAGATCGCAAGAAGCGGCTCGAGAAGATCGAGCGAGTCAGTCGTCCCCGCAAGATCGTTGCCCCGTCGATGCGTTTCCCCGAAGCCGACCGTGCTGGGGATATCGTGCTGCGAGCCTCCGGCATCAGCAAAGCCTTCGACAAACAACTCTTCAGCGATCTCACGTTCGAAATCGAACGGGGTGAGCGTTGGGCAATATTGGGCCCCAATGGCTCGGGAAAAACGACTCTGCTGAAGTGTCTGCTGGAACTCCAGACGCCCGACGCCGGGCAAATCGCACGAGGTCATCGCGTCACGATTGGGTATTGCGACCAGCAACTGTCTGTGCTGCCGCAGGAAGTGGAACTGGTTGAGGCGATCCGCCACCAGGACGAATCGACGACCATTGGTCAGCGTCGCGATTTGCTGGCCCGGTTTGGGTTGGCCGGCGACATCGTGTTTCAGAAGGTCAGTAGCCTCAGCGGAGGCGAGCGGAGTCGGGCGGCCCTGGCACGGATCGCGCTGGAGAGTGCGAACCTGCTGGTGCTCGACGAACCGACGAACCACCTCGACCTGTGGGCACGCGATGCGCTCGAACAGGCGATTCGCCGTTTTGACGGAACCGTGCTCTTTGTGAGCCACGACCGCTACTTCATCAATCAGGTGGCCGACCACCTGCTGCTGTTCGAGCCCGGTGGGGTTCGCGTGGTCGATGGCAACTACGATACCTACGTCGAGCTGTTTCAAAATAAAGTGCCGTCGACATCCGCAACTTCGACTGTAAGTGCAGCACCCAATGGGGCGGCAAAAGCATCAAAAGCTGGCTCGGCAACCAAGGCGGTGGCCGAGAAATCCGCCCCGGGTAAACCTCGCCGGAAACGGAAGTTCGCGTATCGCAAGGTCGAAGACCTGGAGGCAGAGATCTTCGAACGCGAGACACGCGTTGAAGAACTGCATGGGGATCTTATTCTTCCGGAGGTGCAACGCGACGGAGATCGGGTGCGGCAAATTCAGGCGGACATCGAAGCCGAGCAAGCCGCGCTCGCCCAACTCTACGAGCACTGGGAAGAAGCCAACGAGTTGAATTGATGCCCTCGATCAAAGTTAGGACCCGCCCTTGCCCACGGTAACCGCCGAGCAACTCACCGACTTCTGCAGTTCAATCCTTCGTGCGGCTGGGGGGAGCGACGAGGAGGCTCGCCTGGTATCTCAGTCGCTGGTCGAAACCAATCTGTATGGGCACGACTCGCACGGCGTGGTTCGCTTGCCGTGGTACATCGAGCAGCTAGGGCGCGGCGAGTTGGTGGCCGGAGCGAAGCTGGAAATCGAACAAGAAACGCCAGCGGTCGTCGCCTGCAACGCCAACCTGGGCTTCGGGCAAGTTCAAGCCAGCCGGCTTACCGAGATGGCCATCGCCAAAGCGCGAGAGGTGGGCATTGCTTGTGCTACGGCCCGCGATTGCGGTCATGTGGGTCGACTGGGGGCTTATCCTCAACTTGCGGCCGAGCAGAACCTGGCCGCGATGATGACCGTAAACGATAACGGCACGTTCCGCATTGTTGCCCCGCCGGGTGGAATTGAACCCCGCGTGAGTACGAACCCCATTTCCATTGCGGTGCCCGGTGGCGATGGCCCGCTGGTGTTCGACGCCTCGACCAGTGTGGTGGCCCAGGGCAAAGTGTTGGTTCATCGTGTTGAAGGCAGCCCCTGCCCCGAAGGTTGGTTGCAAGATTCTCAGGGAGAGCCTACGACCGACCCCAACGTGCTGGTGGCCGATCCGCAGGGCACCATTCTCCCCTTGGGCGGCACGGCGGCCTTCAAGGGCTTCGGTTTGTCGATGATGCTCGATATGCTGGTGGGCGGTCTCTCAGGCGGGTATTGCCCTCCGGCGGTGCCTGGGGCGGCCATGTGCAATACTGTGCTCTTAGTCGTGTGGGATCCAAAGCTCTTCGCGGGCCTCGATCATTTCGTGGGCGAAGTGAATCGGCTGGCCGACTCGGTGCGGAGTTGTCCCACGCGCGAAGGGGCGGCCGAGATCACGCTGCCGGGTGAGCGAGGGCTCGCGTGTCGGCAGGAACGCCTTCGCGAAGGGATCCCGGTGCCCGAGGGAAACTGGGCCCGGCTAGTCGAAGTGGCCGAGCAGCTGAAGGTCACTCCGCCGACGTTTGACTGAATTCAAACCAATACGACTCAATACTGCTTTAACTCGAGGTCCGCATTCACATGAGCGAAACGATCAGCTCCCGCGTTGACGACAACATCTTGCACGTTCGCATTAATCGAGCGGAAAAACGCAACGCCCTGACTGGCGAGATGATGCAGGAGCTGGCCGCGGCGGTGCGAAGTGCCGACGAACATCCCGCGGTCCGCGCGGTGATTGTCTCGGCCGAAGGCCCCATCTTTTCGGCCGGCATCGACCTAATGTCGTTGGCCCAACTCCGTGGCGAGGCGGGCGATCGCAACGTTTCCCGCTGGCTGCGACGCCTGGCCAGCGATCTTCAGGCGACATTGAACGCAATCGAAGAGACTGAAGTTCCGGTGATCGGGGCCTTGCAGGGCCAAGTGCTGGGGATGGGGCTCGAACTGGCGTTGGCGTTCGACCTTCGGGTTGGAGCGTCGGATCTCAAGCTCAGCATTCCCGAATCGCGAATGGGTTTGGTGGCCGACGTTGGAGGCACCACACGATTGAGCCGCACGATCGGCCCCAGCCGAGCGAAAGACCTCCTGATGACGGCTCGAGCAATCGAGGCGGAAGAAGCCCTGCAATGGGGTCTGCTGAATCGCATCGCCCCGCCCGAGGAACTCATGGCGGCGGCCGAAGAGCTAGCCCAGCAGATTGCCAAGAACGCTCCGTTGGCCGTGGGGCTAGCTAAGCTGATCGTAGATCAAGGCGACGGCCTCGACAAGCATACGCAGATGGCCATCGAACGTTGGGCCCAAAGCCAGTTGATCGGCACCGAAGACGTCATGGAAGCCATGGGCGCCTTCATGGAAAAACGCCCCGCCGAGTTCAAGGGGCGTTAGTCTCTTGCCTGGCGATCACGGCTTATGGGTGTCCCTTTTGTAGGGTGCGTGCTCGCACGCACACAGGAACGGGTAGAGGGAGATTAACACCTGCTACGGAGCATCCCAGCAACCCTTTCGCGTTTGCCAGCAAACGCGTTACTTGGAGTCGAGTCCGAAGCAGTACAAATGTCCGGCGGTGCGGAGGAAGATCTGCCCGTCGATGAGCGCTGGCGTGGCGAAGGCTTCTTCTCCGAACTCGGCGTCGGCCAACTCTTCCCACTTGCCCTCGGCAGAGATCACACTGATCTCGCCCCGCTGGCTTAGCAGATAGACTTTGCCGTCGCCTGCCACGGGTGAAGCATAGTAGTTTGCCGTTCCAGAAACGCGGGCCGTTTTCAAAGCCTTCCCCGATTCAGCATCGAGGCTCGACACGATCCCGCCGTTTTTCACGAAGAAGACCACGTCGTTGTAAACCACCGGCGAAGGCACGTAAGGCAGCGATCGATCGTGTCGCCAGTTCACGTGGGATTCCGTAATGTCACCTGTGCCGCCGGGGCGGATTGACACCATCACATTGTGAGCCGCATCGAACACGCCCCGCATGCTTTCGTATTCTTGCTCGGTGATGTGTCCGTTTTTATCGCGATCGATCTGATTGAACCGCGTCTTAATGGGGCCCGGAGGCGTTTCTTCTTCCTCCAGGGTGCCATTCTCATTCTCGTCCCGCTCGATCACTTCTGTGAAGGGACTCACATCGATGCGGTTCGAGGCGTCGCCTCCGGGGGCCCAGGCAGCCACGAACAGTGTTCCGTCGGGTCCGATGGTGGGCGTCATATTCACAATTCGAGAGATGCCTGTCACGGTCCAGGCCTCATTGCCCGTCATCAGGTCGTAGCCCACGATGCGGAGCGTGCCTGCGATGACGATTTGCCGCTGGCCGTTGTTGTTCCAAATCACCGGTGTTGCATATCCGCGGGGGAACTCACTGCGGTCGGTCTTCCACGCGAACTCGCCGGTGTCCTTGTCGAGCGCGGCCAGGAACGAATCGGTATCGTGGTCCTGATTCAGGATGACCCAATCGTCGACTATGATCGGCGAACTGCCGGCCCCGAAGTTGTTGCTGAACGGACCCAGAGGCAAATGCCACAGTTGATTGCCATCTCGGTCGTACGCATACATGCCTGCCGAACCGAAGAGGCTGACCACGTGCTTTCCATCGGTAGCGGGTGTGGGTTGGGCATAGCTGCCGATCGTGTGGATTTCTTCCAACTCATCATGCGGGGCTACCCTTCGCCACAACTCCTTGCCGCTGGCGCGATCGAGGGCGAGTGTCCACAACCGTTCATCTTCAACCGCAGTGAGATAGATTCGGTCGCCATAAATCACCGGCGAGGAATGCCCCGGGGGGACTTCCACACTCCAAATCACATTCGTCTCCGGGCCAATCTCCGTGGGAAGTGACTCATCGCCCACCGCCCTGCCCGAGGCGTTGTTCCCGCGAAATTGCGGCCACTCGTCAGCCATCGCCAACGGCATGAGCAAATACACAACACATGCTGTCATGCCGGCACGGAACGTCAGCCGAGTATGAGCCAGATTGCTGAGAAGCATTCGATAACGTGGAAGTTGGTTTCGATTCATCGCAGCCATTCTCTGGATTAAATGTGTGAAGCCTGAATGATGACATGCCAAATGGCGCTGGTTTCCAGATGCATGTTTAACCATCGCGAGGGCCGCTTGGCAAATCGGCCGCCTCGATTTCCTGAAATCCAAGTTGCGAATATCTGGGAATCTTCTCGACCCACGGTTAGAATGTCGCCGCCGGAAGCCTGATCTCCTGAAAACCCTGCAACAGAAGTGCTATGAGCAAAAATGTGACGTCGGTCGCGCGGATCGACACGCCTCTGCATGAAGTAGACGCTGCGGCGATCGTCGTCGGGCTATATAGCGATGGTTTTTCGACGAGCGCTACGGCCCTCGACGAAGCCAGCGGTGGACTCATAACCCGGCTGATTGAGGCCGGCGAAACCCCCAGCAAGCTCAACGCCCTGACGCCCTTGTGGAATGTCACGAGCCTTCGCGCCCCGCAGGTGCTCGTGGTGGGGTTGGGCCCCCGCGAGTGCCAGAATCGACAAACGGCATTCCAAGCCGCCGCGGTCGCTGGCGGAAACCTGGCCAGCAAGCAACGCGAGAAGATCGCCTACTATATGCCGGAAGATTGGTCGGGCGAGTTGCACGAGTCGGCCGTCGCCGGGGCCCTGGTGGCCTCGCAAGGTCAAGACCTGTATCGCCGCGACAAGAAGTTGTTCCCACCAAAGGATCTACTGTGGTCTGGCACCGATGCCGAAACGGTTCGCTCTGGGCGAATCATCGGTGAAGCCGTGAATCTCACCCGCCGGTTAGTGAACGAACCCCCGCAGGAGATCTACCCAGAGAGTTTCGCCGAGCAATGCGTCGCCGTGGCGGGGCAGCTTGGACTGTCGGTCGATGTCTGGGACGAGAAACGCCTGGAAAGCGAACGGGCCGGTTCGCTGTTGGCCGTGGCCAAGGGATCGGTTCGTCCGCCGCGTCTCGTCATGATGCATTACCAGGGGGCCGGCGAGGGCGTTGCCCCGTTAGCCCTGGTTGGGAAGGGGGTCACGTTCGACTCCGGTGGTCTGTCGCTCAAGTCGGGCGAAGGTATGAAGACCATGAAATGTGACATGGCTGGTGCAGCCACCGTGCTGGGTGCCGTACAAGCCATCGCCGCATTGAAGCTACCGGTCAACGTAGTGGGGCTCATGGGCCTGGTCGAAAACATGCCCGGTGGCCGCGCAATGAAGTTGGGCGACGTGCTGTGGTCGCGAGCTGGTAAGACCATTGAGGTCCTCAACACCGACGCCGAGGGGCGCCTTGTGTTGGCCGACGTGTTGAACGTGGCCGTCGAACAAGGGGCCGGGCACATCATCGACTTGGCCACGCTCACCGGCGCCTGTGTGGTCGCGCTCGGAACCGATGTCGCTGGATTAATGACCAACGACGACGCATGGTGCACGAAGATCGAAGAAGCCAGCCGCACCTGTGGCGAACCCGCGTGGAAGCTGCCCATGTTTCCCGAGTACACCGAACAGATTCAAAGCACCGTGGCCGACATCAAGAACATCGGCAAAGGCCGTTGGGCCGGTGCGATCACGGCCGCGAAGTTCCTGGAAGAATTCGTCGATGACGTCCCCTGGACGCACATCGACATCGCCGGTCCGGCGTTTCTTGATGCTCCCAAACCCTGGTGCGATGCGGGAGCCAGCGGAGCGTTCGTTCGTACGCTAGTCGAAGTCGCCCGCGGGTATAAGCCGTAGCCGCCGGAGTTTACTCTCGCTCGGCTTCTTCTTTCGCTTTGCGTTCGGCCAGGCGTTGGCGGTAGTCTTCCAGCACGCCTTCAGGATCTTCCTCGAAGAGCTCCCGGCAGCCGCCGCAGCAGACATAGTAGGTCTCGCCTTTGTAGGTGACGGCGGTGCTTCCCAAACCACCCGTGACGATGCACTCCCGCTGAGTGTTCCCTTGGCCGAAGCCGCTTCCCTCTCGGGTGTAGCCAACCTCTGCGATGCGGCTGTAAGGGCCAGAGGGGGTTCGCTGTCGTTCAAGAAGTATCAACAGCCGATCACCGTCGGCCACGGTGCGCATGGTAATGCGAACCACCGGATCGATGTCTTCGGTGGCCGCCAACAAAGTGAGTTGATTGTCTTCGTCGAGCGACCCGCGAAACCGGTCAACCTGGTCATCGTCGGCCCGGGTGGCATCGAGTTGGAAGTGGCCTTCCTCATCAAGTGCGGTTAGCCGACCTTGGCGGTAGAACCGTCCTTTGGGCGCATCGAACACAAGGGCCGGTTGTCCCTCGATGAACGACCACTGCCAACCGGCGGCCTCGATCCAGCTATCCCGGGCCGATCCACGCTTGGGCTGGCCCACCCCACGCCACTCGCCGATGAGCACCTGCATTTGTGACAGTGCGGCTTTCTGCTGTTTCTGCGAGGCGGGTTCTTCCGCAGTAATCACCACGGCGGCGAGCGTCGCGGCGGAAAGCGAGACAGCCAGCAGGGTTCCAGGCCTTGCTCTAAGGTGCGTCCGCATGGGGAGTTTCTCCTGAAATCAGCGGTTCGACGTCCCACTCACAAACCCCGCGAAATGCGTTAAGTTTCGCCGGAATGGACCGATGGATTTGTCCCATCTGGCGGTGAGCTAGACTGAACCGTAGGGCTTTCCGTCCATCATAACAGAGCCCCGCCTGAAAACTTCACCACCAGAATTGATGAAATCATACCAATTGCAACTCGCGCGAGTTTCAGGGCCTTTTGTGGCTTGCGTCGCTGCATGCTTGCTTGTGGCAGTGGCCACAACTGCGTATGCGGACGAAAGGGGGAAGCCATCCCCTGCGGACGACACCACGCAAATTTGGTTTGATGATCTCGAAGCACCTATCAATTTGGACGATGCGACTGCGGAGCAACTGCTTCGCTACATCCGGTCCCAGTTTTCTCCTGAGGTAGAGCTGCCAGAGTTGCCGGAATCCATTGTTGATGACACCGATTCTAGAATCGTTTTCATCACGGTCAGCGACTCCCACGATGTGGCAACGGTTGTGATGGGACGTGGCCAAGGGATGTCGGCTGCCGTAAACGATGCATTGAAACAATTGACCGCGAGGGATTGGGAACAGCCACCGGTGTGGTACAAGCTCGATGTGGTGACCGAGTCCATTTCCTTGCCGGAGGTCGATCTCGACTACCCTTTGGAGCTCGACCGATCCTTCTACGGCCTGGCGTTTCGCCCGGAGCTTGGGCTGGCGTTTCTGCCCGATGAGTTGCTGGTTGGCGAATTGATTGAGAAGAATCAGGCCATCAATCTCAATGCGATCGTCGACTATCTCAAGCTTCGCGGTCGCGACGTAGGTGTTTTGCGAGAACTATATCAGCCGGTTGACCATCCCATTTATCGCTTCCGCACGACAAGCTACTTCTGGTCGAAGGAGACAGGGACGATTC